GCCCCACCCCGCCCCGATCCAGGGGCACATGCCCCTCTCCCCCCTATGCCCTCCCACCGCTTGTCCAGCCAGGGCAGGGCAAGCAGTCGGCACGGGATGAAACCATGGGTCATCTGGGGGCACAGGGAGAGCAGTGTGGCTCACGGTGCTGTAGCAACTTCATCCCGTGCTCACCCCAGCTGTGCGAGCAGCAGGAGGGCATAGCCAGGGGTGGGCAATTATTTCGGGTAGAGGGCCGCTTACTGAGTTTTGGCAAGCCATTGAGGGCCACATGACAGTCAGCCAGGGGCAGATAAATATTAATTTTCTAAATTTTTTAGGGGCCCTGCAGGCTGGAAAGAACGGCCTGGCAGGCCACATGTGGCCCGCAGGCCGCGTTTTGCCCACTCCTGACATAGACCCCACTCCCAGCACCGCCACCAGCAGCTCGGTGGAGCCCCTGCCCCACCTGCCCTGCCCTGCACAGATCTGGGGGCACACGTGCCCCACCCCACCCCTCCGCCCCCCAGATAAGCAGTGGGAGCAGTGGCGGGAACCGCCAGATGAGTTGCTAAACAAGCAGCATGCAGCGGTGGGAGCCACCACGCCCTCCCTCCCCACACTCCCCCACAACAAGCCACAGCAGTCCTGCATCCATCCGGCCCTGGCTAGGCAGCTTTTGCCGCAGCCCCGGTCTGAGCTCCAGCCCCAGTCCCTCCCTCACTGTGGGGGGTGTTGATCTGTCCCACCATGCCCCTTCCCTCCCACCTCCTCTCCCACCACAACTGACTTAACAGATGTGTGCAGCTGGATCATAAGGGAACCAACCCCCCTTTTATAACACTGTTCCTATGGAAAAACTAGTTCCGACTTATGATGTTTTAATTTCAGAGACAGTTTTCAGGAACAAATTCTGTTGCAAGTCTGAGGACTGCTTGTATGATGCTCACACCCAATGAAACTCAAGTTATGAAAAGTCAGTATTTAAACACTGTTTTGAGTGGAAACAATTTCTTACCTGTGCAGCAACAGTGTGGGATCTGGTAGGGAACAGCTTTGTAACACATGCTGTATTAAATCCAGCTTCTGACAAACCAAAAGCAGCCCGCAAACCTGCTCCCCCGGCTCCCACAACAACTGCATCAAATGTATGGTCCACTACTGGATACTGAGTAGAAATCTGAGAAAGAAAGACTGATTACTCTGTTAAGATCATGAATCAAAATGACAGTATCTCAAAATAGCGACCACATTATCTTGATGCAACATGTTTTTTTGTACACTGGAAGAAGCCATGCATGCTTTTCAAATCGCATAAATAATATCTATCATAAACTTAACACAGTTTGTCCAAATCATTTCAGTAGCACACTATCTGCAGTAATCTTCACTAACACCATACTGACCCATTTTAGCAGTTCAGTGTCACTACAGAATGGTCCTGTCCTCTGCCACCAAAAAAAAGACTCTCATAATCAACTCTAGTCTCTTTCCAAATTCCATAAGCAATCACTTTATAAACGAAACAGCAAGACAAACACAAACTTACCGATTCAGAAACCTTAGTGGACGTAGTCTTCTTTCCATAGATATTGAAGTAAAAGTTACGTTTAAGAGGCTGGCAGGTTACTGGCCACTGCTGAAACAAGTTCAAAGTTAGTTTAAAACTTCAGAATAAGATAGGAGGAAGTGTCCTCATATAGTGTGTTTTAATAAAAGCAAGCTTTCCAACACTTTCCAATTAAACAACAGCCAAGGCAAATATTTTTTCCTTCTGACTGATTCTACATACTAACAAAAATTATTAGATTACAAAAAAGGTCCTGCTCACTCCTAGACATAAGAATATGAAAAAAGAAATTCAGTACAAATATTAATAGTACAATGTGTAATTTCTGCAGAATGGTGCCTATTACGGCATATTCTGCTATTATGATATACTGAACTTTCATCCTTTTTCTTCACGAACACATACTAACTAACCAAAACAAAGCTTCTCTGCCAGACGGATTTTTTTAAACCTGGATAAACACAGGAGGATGTGAGATGATCATTTTCATCGTGTCCAAACTATATCACTTTTGTAAACTGATTTGAATCACTGAATCATGGAGCAAAGGATTGGAAAAGGCCTTCAAGGGTCATTATGTAACATTATGTAATCCCTTTCATAAACCAAGCAAGCTCCATCTTGGCAGTTAGCAGAGGGTTGGGTTCTTTGGTTTTGTTTGGAGGTGGGGTGGGCTGTTTTGTTTTATTTTTACATCTCCATATCTCCAACAGAAAGGCTATTCTGGAACCTTACTGCAACTTGCAAACATTTTCTACATTTCTAAGCCAAATGTATTCCCATGACAACATTAAACTATAGTTTAAGAAATTCTGCTCTTTATATGTGCTTATTTCCTGAGGCTTCTGCATTCAGCAATTGCATCTCTTTCCATCTGTTTCATTAGACCAAACAAACCAAGCTTTTGGCCCCCCCAGGCACCTATACACGAGTGCTGAAGCTGCTCTGACATGCTAGAATTTCAGTGCATCGGAGCAGGCTCAATTAATCGAGTCTGCTGAAACGTGGCAATTCCCATGCTCCAGCAGCCTCCTGTGTCTCATGTACCAGTGTCCCCACACTTAAAATGGTAGTAGGGCACTTGAACTAAAGCTTGTCGAATGAGTGTTAGTTCAAGCACCCCTGCCACCATTTTTTAATCACAGAGACATTGAAACAGGAGGCGTGGTGGTGCTTTAATTAGAGCAGCTCTAAAAGCTGCTTGAATTAAAGCAATGCCCCCCCACCCTCAGAGCACATGTAAAAGTGCTCTTCCAGGCCCCTGATCATGCTAACAGGCCTCACCTATACTTATTTGAAAGAAGGCTTCATATCACCAAGTGACATTCCAGGGGGAAAAGGTTATGAGGATGAACTTTGGGACTTTCCTGTTAGTCACTCCACTGCTTTGTAACAAACTAATTTGTATAATTAACTAGATGAATGGTCTCTAGTCCTTTGTTTATCATATGTAATCATTTATGTAAGAGTGAAGCAACTAAATGGAGTTCTATGAAACAAAATACCAAGGAAAACCAGGAAAGAGACACAAACATCTAACATTTTGAACAAAGACCAGAAGCAAATGCAAGTCACCACCAATAAATGAAATATTTTATGATACAGATCAGTTTCCACTGAAAACCAGGGTGAAATTAAATTAGTTTACTCTGAAAATTAGAGAGGATTGACACAGGCTTCCAACAATGAAGAACTGCTTCATTAGCATGTTATGGACTGATGACTACCCTAATTCTACTTTAACGTAAATTTCTTTTTTTAAATTGCATATGAGTACTTTACCTACAGACTATACTTGGATACACTACAAGCAGAAGTCAGCATAAAATATACACAGCAATTTTCAAAACCTAGTTCCTATACTACTGTTTTATTGCAGTACAGTAATAATGTTTTACTGTGTTATTTTATTGCCTTGGATAAAAGATAACAATTTTAGCTTGTTTATTGCTTTGAGCAATTCAGAGCACAATTTTACAATTCAGAAAGGAATCTAACAGCCAATCAAGCAATTCCAGATAATTTACTGAAGATGACCTGCAAACAGTTTGAAAAATCCATGAGCTATAAAAACAAATTAACTTCCTAAAACACAGAGAAAAGCTTACCAATCTTTTTCGTTTTATTGCAAATGTTTTAATAGTCAGACTAGTAAGTTGGAGATGCATAATATTTTGCCCAAGCCTCTACCAAGTTCTACAAGCTTCTTTTTATGGCAGGCTGTAGTCAGCCTGAACAGAAAAGTATAGAGCCATAAACTGCCACTTAGAGAAATGTAATATCCTCCTTTCTAAACGAACAGGAGGTAAATTTATGTCTCAGTATTTGAAAAATGCATTTTCACAGTTGATAAATACACTTTTTATACCATGCCTAAAAGAATAGTAGAATATTAGAGTGCAGCAATCACACTGACCAATTTCATAATTTGATTATAACCAGGGATCCTGGCTTTCTGTTTAAAAATTGAAAATTATTTGGGAGGTGGGAAATGCAAATTCTTTGATTTGAAAACCCCAAATCTGTGTTTTTCCATAATTAAAACACCACTATATACATCCAGATAGATAGATATCCACTGAACACAATGTTTTATTCGTATATTTACAATTGTTAAGCAATTTGGAAACCTACCAGTGCCTCACAATCTCTATAATAAAATAAATTCTAAATACCTATACATATTGGCATCTGATTTGGGGTTTTTTATCATGGAAAAATCAAAGCTCCCCTGTGTCCTTCGCTCACTAGGACATGGGTTCAGCTGCAGGTGTCCCGTCCACTGCTTTGTGGCGCTGAGCAGCCCTGGTATGCCAGTTCTCTGTCCCTATGCCATTGCCCCTCACTCCCAAAACACAGCCCCTAGTCCTGCTGGTGCCCCTCATTCAGGGCCTGCAGCCCCCCACCCTGCTGGTGCCCCTCATTCAGGGCCCACAGTCCAAGCACCTCCACAGCCGCACTAGAGAGGACACCCAGCACCTAGGGCTATGGGGCCAGGGAACTGGGTCTGCAGGCCCCTGCCCCCAACACAGCGGCTGCTGTGGCAGAGCACAGAGCCCAGCTCCCCCTCCCCCACAGGCTCCGCTCCAGTCATGCAGCCTGTGGGAGTGGGTGTGGATACAGGCTGCCCTGAGCTTGGGGTTCCCCACACTACTTCCCTTTCCCCAGCGCCTCCACAGCTCAGCAGGTGGGACTCGGCACTTCAGAGCAAAGCAGCATGGGAAGGCTCGATGCCACTGCCAGGAGGCACTACATCGCCATCGTGAGGTGCTCCCTGCCTGTGCAGCAGCAGCAAGGGACACAAGGCCACACTGCTGGGTGGGTGCTTCACCATGGTGGCGCAAGGGTCCTGACAGCAGCACTGAGCCGCCCTGCCCTGCTGGCCCCTGCCCCTTGGGCTGTGGAGGCCCCGAGGGAAGAGCAACAGGGCAGGGAGCCTGATCCTGCAGCAGACTGCCAACATCCACCCCCACTCAAGACACAAGTCTGGGGGGCACGCGTCTCCCATGTCCCCCCAGGAGTGTGCACAGCAGCAGGAAGCCAGCTCCCCTGCCACCTCCTGGATGAGCCTGCAGCTCCCACTTGCTCCCCACCAGAACCCTGCAGCCACACATTTCAGACCTCAACCCCCATGCACCATCACAGCTGGGCAGCAGCCCCAGCCCTGCCTGCCCAACTCCCTCCCTCCCTCACTATGGAGGCCTCAATTCACCCACCCCCTAGACTTACCTGTGGGGAGCTACAGAGCAGCTCTCCACATTGCCTGGCTGCCATGTGTGCGGGTGCGTGCACACACGTGCATGTGGCGCCCCCTGCCTACTCCCCCCAGCCCCTTGCAAGCTAGAACTTTGGTAGCCTGCAAGAAAAACCTTCTGTTTCCCATGTTTTTCTCTTTAAAATGAGAAAATCCAGGTTTTACTGCGTTTTTCTGTGGTGAACCGGAAAATGTGGATCCTTAATTATAACTGAAACATAATTAGCCAATAGGGGTGCACTGATATATCAGTTGACTATCAGATCAACACTGATAAAAGGAGAAATGACATTATCAGCTATTGGCTTTTTTTTGGTCATTGTAGCTGATAAGTATTGTCACATGCCCGAAGCACCCTGGCAAGTGTAGTCTAGTTCCTGCACCCCACTGCCAGCCCGAGCCCATGGCAGACTACAGGTCCCAGCAAGCAGCAGGAGGGGGAGGGGGCGCAGGG